AAAAAAGCCGGAAGTGGCGCTGTGGCTCAAGTGGTAGAGCACTAGCCTTGAGCTGAAGAGCTGAGGGACAGCGCCCAGGCCCAGAGTTCATGCCCCATGACCAGACCCCCCCCCAAAAAAAGTTGATGTAATGCCAACAAAACAATACATAGAGGATATAATTGACCATGTTTTTCTACAGGAACAGTTTTCTAGCTTTCTAAAATTTGTGAAAAATCATCATACTTTTATTCCCAATGTACTATAGATCTAGATTCCCTAATAGCTTATATGGATAGTCAGAGAGGCTTAGATGGGTAGCCAGAGTGGCTTTAGGAATAAGTATTTATCTGACTTTCCTTTGTTTTTTGAAAAGAAAATGAAATCCAATGATTTTATATGAAGATTTAATCAGCTATTTCTCCCGGAAATTCTAAACTTTTTTTAATTTTGGCTCATTTTCAACCTATTATCCTTAATTTCTGAGAAATAAATCAGAAAAATAATCCACTAAAAATACTGGGATTTGGATTTATAGAAATAAATTTAATCAGAGATTAAGGATTTTTTATAATTAAAACTATAAAGAACTGAAGAAACGGTAGAAGACACTAAAGTGAAAGATTTCCATATTTTTAAACAGCAGAATTAATATGTCAAATGGCCACATTACCAAAAGATATGTACAACTTTACTACAATTTTCATCAAAATTCCAATGACATTTTTTGAAGAAATAGAAAAACAATTCTAAAATTCCAGCCTATGAGGGAGCACATGTGCCTTTACCACCTCAAAAGCATTTGGCCTTAAATAAATTTAATTTGCTACTTGATCCACAGTGGAACATAGTGAAAGGTTCATTCTTCCATTTGAGAAGTTAATTTCATTAATTCCACAAGTACTGCTGTATACTAATACTGATTCAGAAGCTTGTAATACTTTGATAAACAAGAGTCCTACAGCTTACATTTTAGTAGGAGGAGACAAATAATAAATATATAATCAAGTAAGCTACTTTTAGAGATTGATAAATATCTTGAAGAAACTATCTAGTAACCAGGTAGAAGCTGTGTAGGAATCTCAAGAGAATGTATTTTCTTATTGTCATTCATAGAAAGATTTGAATGGTCAATCTGAGACACTGCCTTTATTTGTCACTTACACTCAAATCAGAGATTTTAATTGTTTTTAAATAGTGCTAGGGAGCCTAGTTTAGGGACATAGAAAAGTTGAAAATATGGCATCAATAAAGAACAACATCAATAATGATCAGTAAGTCTGTTGATCTTCACCAAGATAGTCTTCAACTATATCTCTCAAGTATCCTTTGAATTTACACAAGTTCTCATATCTATAACCTTTCTTCCAAAAGGTATGTTACAAACCAAAAGATAAACATACATCACTGTCTAAGTACTCAAGTACTAGTTTCTGTAACTTGAAGCTGTGATACCACTGAAGCCACTGTTCGCTTTTCTTCATGCAGTTGTAGCATCCTCTGGTGGGCATAAATTTATTTTATAGCATTTGAGAAAAAGTTCTGTAACTTCTGGCACAGAAATAAGATATACAGTGGTTTATTATTTTCACTGTTATCAATTTCACAAAGCATCATGCTTATTGTCAGATCTAAACAAATATCTCAGGAAAATGTAAACTATATAAGAATTAAATAATATTGTTATTGCTAATAATGAGTGGTAATGTGCTATCTGAAAAACCTTCCATTCAAGGTTGTAGTGTGTGTGTGTGTGTGTGTTGTTGTTGTTCCTGGAGGCTTGCATTCAGGGCCTGAGCACTGTCACTGAGCCTTTTGCCCAAACACTAACACTCTACTACTTAAGCCACTGTTTTTTTGGTGCTTAATTGGAGATAAAAGACTCGTGGACTTTCCTTTCCCGGGCTGGATTCCAACTACAATCTTCAGACCTCAGCCTCCTGAGTAGCTAGGATTACAGGGATGAGCCACTTGCACCGGCCATTGGAATTCTATGAGGAAAATACAATTTAAATTCTCTAATTGAGTGTTATCACATTTATCATCCATTCAAAAAATTTAAAGCACAATTAAACTGGGTACTGCTGGCACTCATCTAGCTACTCAGGAGGCTGAGATCTGAGAATCGAGGTTCAAAGCCAGCCTGGGCAGGAAAGCCTGTGAGACTCTTATCTCCAATTAACCACCAGAAAACCAGAAGTGGCGCTGTGGCTCAAGGGGTAGAGTGCTCACCTTGAACTGAAGAGCTCAGGGGCAGCGCCCAAGCCCAGAGTTCAAGCCCCACGACCAACACACACACACACACACACACACACACACACACACACACACACACAAGATCTTTAGTTCTTATCAGATGCTTCATAGCCCTGTTAGTAAAAATACTGATTATATTTAAATATGTAAATAAATATATAATATATTGTATAAATAACATATAACTTATATAAATAATATAGAATATAGAACTAAACATATAGTATTAAATTATATAAGCAAAAGGTACAATTTTTTTTTTTGGTCAGTCATAGGGCTTGAACTCTGGGCTTGGGCGCTGTCCCTGCACTCTTCAGCTCAAGGCGAGTGCTCTACCGCTTGAGCCACAGCGCTAGTTCTGGTTTTCTAGTGGTTTATTGGAGATAAGAGTCTCATGGACTTTCCTGCCTGGCTGGCTTTGAACCGCGATCCTCAGATCTTAGCCTTCTGAGTAGCTAGGATCACAGGTGTGAGCCACCGGCGCCTGGCTCAAAAGGTAGAATTTATACCACCTGTAAATATAAGAAATTTTCACGTTACTCAATATAAAGTGCTTTTTTTTAAGCAGTTTCAGGATAGATTGAGTCTTTTCTTACTTAGTACTACTCTTCTGAAACATTTTTCACCTACTCTTACTTCTTGAAAGTATGCTTATTTTTAAAGGTTCAGTACAAGTGCCATTCTATGAAGCTCTCCCAGATTTTACTGGCTGGAATCAATTCTGCTTCTTCTCTCCTTCCTCTATTGTTTATAGTTTATCTATAGCACCACCAGCCTACTCCTTATTTGCTACTCTCAAGGGAAAACAACAAAACCCTCAAGAATCAGGAGGAAGCAATTGGACATGCACATGCTAAGTCAAAGTTCACAGAAAGAGGGCTTTGTAATTTAATTCAATATCAGTTGAGCCAGATGCTATTTTAGCATTAAAAAAAACTAAAATCATGCTACTAAAAAGAATATGAATATAATTCGTATGCCAGAAGAGAGCTATTGATAGACTTAGCTTCTTTGAGAGATTTTTTTTTCTTGTTGGACTGATTTTAACTCAGGGTTTGACTAGGCAGGGTCTCTGATGCTTAAACCATATGTCTAGTCCCCAGATTTTTTTTTTCTGGTCCTGGGCTTGAACTATGGGCCTAGGTGCTGGCCCTAAGTTCCTCCTTTTACTCAAGGCTAGCACTCTATCACCTGAGTTACAATATCACTTTCAGCTTTTTTGGTGATTAATCGAAGATAAGAGTCTCATGGACTTTCCTGCCTTGGCTGGCTTTGAACTATGATCCTCAGAACTCAGCCTCTCGAGTAGCTAGGATTATAGGCATGAGCCACCAGCACCTGGCTCCCTTAAGGGGATGGAAGAAAAAGTTTAGAATTACTTCCCTCCTTATTCAGCAAGGAAATAGGCAAGAGAGATGATAGTGACATGGTATAATTGCATGACTGAGGCTTGATTTTCTAGGCATAAAACCAGATTAGAAGAAAGGCTATACCCTGGAACAGAGGCAAAGATTCCTGAGTAGCTAGGATTACAGGCAGGAGCCACCTGCCCCTGGCCTATTTAAATATTTTTTCAACAAATAATCTATTGCCAATAAGACTTGTCACAATCTCACTATGCAATTCTCTTTCTCACTTAAAGCTTTTGTTTAAAGGAATCTTTACTACATACTGGACTGCCACACATGTAACTGAAAGGAGTTTTGGGCAGAAGGAAAAATGCTCTGATCCTTCATTTCTCTCTCTCTCTCTAGATAAATATGAAAGACTCACATATTCACATTCCTTATGATCATTTTTATAACACTAGATAAATTGTGTCTTTAGGATTTTTTTTAGCACGCTAGTTGTGTTAGTTAGCTTTGTCATTGCTGTTGAATACCTGAGTAAAATGATTTAAAGGAAGAAAGAATTATATTTGCTCACAGTTTCGTTCTATGATCAGCTAGATATACTGATGAGTTTGTGGCAAGAAAGAAAAATCATG